ATTTCTGATTTTATTTGAGTTGACTCTGTTTTTCTTGATGAAACTAGTTAAAGGCTTACCAGTTTTGTTTTTAAATAATCAGTTCTTGGTTTCATTGATCTTTTCTATGGTTTTTTAGTCTTTCTCATTTATTTTCACTCTAATCTTTATTATTTCCTTTCTTCAACTAACTTTGGCCTTTGTTTTATTCTTCCTTTCCTAGTTTCTTTAGGTATATGGTTACGTTGTTTGAGATTTCTCTTGTTTCTTGACGTAGGCCTGGTTCACTATAAAATTCCCTGTTAGAGCTGCTTTTGCTGCATCCCAAAGATTTTGGACTGTTGTGTTTTCATTACTGTTGTGTCTCCATGTATTTTTTTTTATTTCCTCTGATTTCTTTGTTAACACACTGATAATATCGTAGCATGTTATTTAACGTTTTTGTATGTGTGTTCTTTTCCAGTTTTTTTTTTTTGTATTTGATTTCTAGTTTCATATTGTTGTAGTTGGAAAAGATGCTTGATATGATTTCCATCATCTTAAATTTATTGAGGCTTGTTTTGTGTCCTAACATGTGATCTATCCTGTAGAATGTTCCGTGTGCACTTGAAAAGAATGTGTACTCTGCTGTTTTGAATGGAATGTTCTATATATATGTTACGTTCATCTGATCGAATGTGTCATTCAAAGCTACTATTTCCTTATTGATTTTCTGTCTGGATGTTCTATCCAATGATGTAGGTGGGTTGTTAAGTCTTCTACTCTATATTACTATCAATTTCTCCCTTTATGGCTGTTAATATTTTATTTAGGTGATGCCTGTGTTGAGTGCATATTTACAGTTGTTACATCCTCTTGTTGGGATGACCCCTTTATTATTATGCAGTGCCCTTCTTTGTCTCTTGCTACAGTCTTTGTTTTAAAGTCTGTTTTGTCTGATACAAGTATTGCTACTCTGGCTGTTTTTTTCTTCTTCTGTTTTCATGGAATAATTTTTTCCATCCCTTCACTTTTACTCTATTTGTATCTGTAGGTCTGAAGTGAGTCTCTTGTAGGTTCATACAGGTGTAGCATATAGATAGGTCTGGTTTTTTTATCTATTACCTCACCCTGTGTCTTTTGATTGGAGAATTTAGTCCATTTGCATTTAAAGTAATTATTGGTAAGTATGTACTTATTACCATTTTGTTAATTATTTTCTGGTTGTTTTTGTAGTTCTGCATTCCTTTCTTGTCTTGCTCTCTTCCCTTGTGGTTTGATGGCTTTTCTTAGGGTTATGGTTGGATTCTTTTCTGTTTATTTCTTGTGTATCTATTATAGGCTTTTGATCTTTGATTGCCAGTGAGTTGATACATAACATCCTGTATAGTGATTTGTATTAAGTTGATGGTTGCTCAGGTTCTGAAAGCACTTAAATAGACTTCCTTCTCCACGTTTTATGTATATGATGTCATATTTTACATCTTTTTATTTTTTTGTATCCTTTGATGGCCCCTCCAGCAACCCTCACATCTTCCCTCTCCCATGTTTGTCAGTTTTAGTAGTCTTTTTCAAAAAACCAACTTTTGGCTTTGACTCTGTTTGTACTATTTAATATCTGTTCTTGTCTTTTATCTCATTTCATCTATTTTCTTGTGAATCAGTTCTTTCTATTCCAAGTTATAATTGACATTTTAAGCTGTAATTTTCCCCTAAGTTATGATTTATTATCTTCCGTGTATTTTAGTATTATTTTCATTATTTAGTTCCAAGCATTACTTAGCAATTTTGTCCTCAGAATTTTAAAAGGAAATTAAGTTTCCACATACATAAATAAAAATTTAGCAAGTAGTAAATATAGAATAGTTTCATTGTCATTATTAAAAACATAGTGTTTCTTAATTGGATTTATTTTTGGAGGTATGTGGGCTCTCAGCTTGTAGGAGTGAGCAAATAAATGAAAGAAAAATGGAGTAAATTAAAACTTAAAAACAAAACACATACAAAATGTAAAACAGCTTATACATCTTTATACTTTGCAGGGAGAATTGATTTTAAAATGATTCCAAGGTATAGCAACAGTCTCAGTCTGGAAAGAATGACCTTGTTTGGTTAGTAGTACCCTGTTTATCTTGGTGGGGAAAAAAGATAGTTTTTTTGCAGGTTTCAGCAGACTTGAAACACTCCATTATCCAGAAAAGCCAGTTAAAGGAAACCATTGCATCGCTTGTGCTTTCTCTACTTAATTCTTCCCCTTTCCCACCCACTCCCTACTTCTGGTGCATACCAGAATCTATCAGAGTCTTTGTCCAGTTCTTGGCTTTACAAATAAAAGATTGAGAGAACTTTTCCAGAAGTTTTCCAGAAGAATCATTAAAACGATAAAAGTTTTGAAAATAGTAAGGTTTTTTTTTGAAGTTTGGAATTTTTTAGATATTGTTTTAGCTGTAGAACTTATAGTTGAAGTGGATTATGCAAATATATGAAATATGCAAAAATATGAAACACTTTTTCTTATGGTTCCTCATTTCTTATTGGGACAGAATCAACTTACTGCCTATGTGTTTGTGGTAAGGCGTAAGTATCTCCTTGAGATGAGACTTGATGAATGTTGAGCACACATTTACAGGAGGCTTTTATGAGTCCATTTTTTAAAAGCCTTCCTGAAATGAGCTAAGTAGGTGATAAAATGTAACTTTCTAGGCTGAAGATTTTAGGAATTCATTTAATATGTATGGATTCATCCTATAATACTGAATATCTAACAACAGGTAGGAAATTGTAATAATTGTTTTAAGATTATAATTTCTTCTCTTTCTCTTCCTTATAAGGAAATTAGAGGTTTTCTTCTTTAGGAAAAAGAAAACATTTAAAAATATGAATATTTTCAATTCTGCTTATCTGATTTTAGTGGACATATTTCTTGTGGAAAAATACTTGCATAAAGAAGTATGTATGGTAAATGAACTTTTATGCTAGTTAATTGAATGGCTGAAGTTCCATGGGTAAAGAGTAGATTTTTGTCAGATCCATCTTTTTTTTTTGAATCACAGAACATATTCAAAATATAATGACACTAGAAGAGTCTGTTCAACATGTGGTCATGACTGCTATTCAAGAGGTAAGTTTTTATTATATTCACATATAAAAATCCTTAACCAAATGACACAAAAATTTTCACATAAATCTTATGGATGTATATTTTTCTATTTGTATAAACTTGCCCTTTGCAGCAGGTTTACTTACCTTAAGCTAGTGTGTCTTCTCTTCTTTTCTTTACCCAAAATATCTTAAAAAAACTTCAAGCTCAATTTTAGTACTTCTGTATTTTAAAAAAGATAATATTGTCAGTTCCCTTTGATAACTTCACCTAAGCAGTATAAACAACCTCTCACCAGATAAGAATTTTTATTTCTTCTTTTTTCCCTGCCAATTAGAACAGTCTTTCTCAAAATTTTAAAGCATGTGTGGAAATATATCTTATGTTCATTTTCAGAATGTTAGTACTGTGAACAAATATGGTGATAGGTTTGGGAGCCACGTAGCCTGGGTTCAAGCCATTCTAGTTGTGTAAAGTCAACCAGAAAAATTCAGAATTCATATGGTACACGTTGATTCTTAACATCAGCCTGAAGGGCTGAGTTGATGTGGAATGCAAAGGAGGCCCAGGGATTAGTGGGGGCAAACAGAGTTTGGCAGGGGCATGATTTGGAGGGAGACCTCTCACAAGAAGTTCTTTTGTGTGCTCTGAGTTTGCATTGTGGGCTTGAATTTAAAGCATCAAAACAATAAATCTGCCTTTCAGATGCAAAAAAGTTACTTTTTATCGTATCCTTTTTTTTTTTTCATAGAATTGTAACTCCTACTTTTTAAAATGACTTCTCAAATTAGGAATTTTACCGTATCACTCATTTAAAGGCTGTATTTTAAAAGTGTTAATTTATTTCATGGAAGAATCTTATTATTATTAGTTATTTTATCAGTTTTATTTAGTAGTTCATCTTTTAGAACTTGGATTGTAATTTTTCAGTATACAGGTATTTTAAAAATATCAGTGTATTTCAAGTACACTTTACTTCTGATGTCCTCACTGATGTAATGGTTGAATATTGTGTTATTTAGCCTAAGCCTCTAATAAAATTTTTATTTGAATAATATTCTAAGGATCATCAAATTATGGCAAAGGAAAACTAAATATAAAGCATTTTACTCTCAAGTAAACCTATTTTTACTTCATAACATCTCTTTATTGTACTTAAGTTTACTATTTTAATTTCCTAGTTGATGAGTAAAGAAATATTGAGCTCTCCTACAAATGATGCTGTTGGAGAATTAGAGCAACAGGTGAGTATCTCAGTAATTGGGGAAAATGTTGAAAACAGTCATTACAGTTCCTTGGCCAATTAGTATCATAAGGCTTTCATTGGAGAACATATACAAGAATATTTTTTCCATGAAATTTAGGTTGTTTATTCTGTAATATCTCAGCTGAATATTATTATGCATTCCTTCATGAATGCAAGTAGTGTTGGTCTCCAGAAATTTTTATGCTCATGTTCAAAGAGTTGAGTGACATTGAACTTTTCTTCTGAAACTTATAATACATATATGGCTCATTCTAGATGGTTACACTGTTAATAGTAGACAATATAAAAATTCTGCTTATTTCTGATTTATCTAATAAATTAATATAATTTTTGTCATGTTGAAGAAATAGCTCCAAGACCCTGTGTTCAGGCTGTTTTCCCTGATTCTATGACATGACTGTTTCACATGGAGAAAAAGGCACTCTCCTCTGACATGTAACCCGACCTGGGTTGTAGGGGAAAGGGTACAAGGACAGGCAAATGCAACTAGTACTTTTTCTGTTATATTGTTGAACATGTTTATCATGAATGTCACCAGTCATCTCACGAAATATTTCAAATTAAAACTTTTTCTATGAAATTTTTATTTGACTTTAAACATACTGCATTTTTTCTAAATTTTTTGTAATTAAACAACATCCTCTAATACTCTGTTGTTTAAATATTTCATAAGGAGTATTCTATGAAAGGAGAGAAGGTTAGCAAGCACTTACTTTGACAGGGATGAAAGAGGCCCTTGGGCCTGACAGCACACAACATGGTTAAGGCATTGCCACCTACTTCATGGCATCTAACCATTGTTTTATTGTTTATTGAATCGTTATATTGTACACTTGAAACTAATATGATACTGTATGTTAATGATATTTCAATTTTTAAAAAATGCACATTGAGCCAAAATATTTTTTTCATAAAGATTTACATAAAATTTTATTTCTGTGGGACCAGAGCCTTAAACATTAATGCGACTGTGTGAATACCATTCACAGAAAAACAACATTGAGACTTATTTTTTAATAGATAAATTTTTTTAAAGTTTTTATTTAAATTCCAGTTAGTTAACATACTGTGTAATACTAGTCTCGGGTTTACAGTATAGTGATTCAGCACTTCCATACATCACCCGGTGCTCATCATGACAAGTGCTCTCCTTAATCCCCATCACCTACTTCACCCTTCCCCCCCCCCACCCATTTCCCTTCTGTAACCATCAGTTTGTTCTCTAGAGTTAATGTATAAAATTCAAAGAACAAATAATCCAATTAAAAAATGGGCAGGAGACCTGAATAGACATTTTTCCAAAGAAGACATACAGATGGCTGGCAGACACATGAGAAGATGCTCAACATGACTGATCATCAGGGAAATGCAAATCAAAACTACAATGAGTGCTTTCTTTACTGCTACATCCGTGCAGTTGAGCACTGTTAGAGAAAAGCACAGCTATTTATTTGAATTGGGGTCATATAAATGCATGATTTCCACCCACAGTTAGGTCCTTCATCATTGTTCTGTACTAATCAACATCTTCTCCCATTACCGAAACAACTATTTCACACAACTGTCCATTTGCATAAGGTCACTACCTTAAAATCTTCCCACTCACCCTGAGTAGTCAGTTATTTACTGAGTGTCCACTATGTGCCAGAGACACTGTGCTAGTGCTTTTCCTATATTGTGTAATTGGCTTGGTAACCCTAGAAAGTTTCAAAGTTTCAAAGACCCAAAGAGAGTAAGCTTGTTAATAAATTTTAATAACCATTTTTAATATCAGTGTTTATGTGTATATACATGTATTTTTCAATCTGTGTCAAAACATGTCTTACTAAGAATCAGGACATTTTGTGTTTCAGCTTAAAAGGGCCTTGGAAGAACTTCAAGAAGCACTAGCAGAAAAAGAAGAACTGAGGCAAAGATGCCAAGAACTAGATATGCAGGTGTGGAAAAGAACCAGCCTGAGAAAAATGTCCTCTTTAAGTTTACAAAGGGTTTTATTGTAAATAATTCACTGGTAAAGTGTTTTGGAGGTTGGGTTTCATTTCATGGAGGACATATTTAAAGTATTTGTTACAGGCTTGAATATTCAAGCATGAATTTCATAATTATTTTTCTCTTCAAGTTGAAAATTGCTAACTTTTTTGAGAAAATCATTTTAATTGTAGAATTTCAAGTATTTAGATGAGCCTGTAGTTGCTTTTGTAGAAAGAAGAAATTAAAGTATCTACTGCATAGAGTGTATATATTTAAGTGAGGTCATTTATGGAAGTATTTAGAAGTGCTTGACCCCCCCGCCCATAAATGTGAGTACCAAGTGAGTTTTGCTAACACGCATGTATCTGAACACATGTGTATATAATTCTTGAGTTCATATGAGAGACAGTATAACTTGGTATGAGAGATAGTAGTTAATGGTTAGTGAGGTAGATTGTTAAACCAGTCCACCTATATTCAGACTCAAGCCATGTTACTAGCTGGTTGTGTCCTCTCAGGCAAATTACTTAATTTCTTTATAGTTCAATTTTCTCTTTTGAGAAATGATGTGATAATAGTATATATTTCCAGAGTGATTATGAGGATTAAATGAGTTAATATACATTAAGCACTTAGAGCAGGACCTGACACGCATAAACTCTATGTGTGTTTGCATGTGTTGTTATTGTTATATGAAAATGCAAATGCAAAAGTTACACAGTAAGTCTTGAAAAATTATGCAAAAGGGTAAATGTACCATCATAGTATGCTATATGTAAATTGCATGTTTTTGTTCAAATAATGAGTTACATAAATAATACTCTCTGAAAAGTATGAAGACAAGGAACAAGGGTTGTGGTAGTATTATCCTGACTTGATGGGATAAATATCTATAATGATAGGGCTGAGTAATATTTCTAACCCTTAAGGGCTTGCAGATAGGAAAAGAGAAGTGACTCAGGTCAAGGTGACTCAGCTACTTAAGGCAGTGACAGCACTGGAATCCTAGTCTTTTAACTTCATCTTTAAAAAATCAGTCCTGTGCTTGAATAAAGCTAATGTTTAAGATTTTATTTATTCACTTTAGAGTGAGAGAGAGGCGTGCATGCATGAGTAGGGGGAGGGGCAGAGGGAGCAGGAGAGAATCTCAGACTCCTCGAGGAGGAACATGGGGCTCGATCTCACGACCCTTATCCCTAGCCCATGCAGGGGGTGGGGTGGGAGAGGAGATCCACAGAAATCTTGATGCTTTTCACTGCAGTCTACCCAATCAGGAGGGAAGTCACCCTTCTTTCACTGGACTGGGGAAGGGTGACTAAGAGCCTAGGGGGCCTGACTCCTTTTCTTTTTTTCTTAAAGATTTTATTTATTTATTTGACAGAGAGAAAGAGAGAGAGAGCACAAGCAGGGAGAGTGGCAGGCAAGGGAGAGGGAGAAACGGGCTCTCGGCTGAGCGGGGAGCCCAATGTGGGGCTTGATCCCAGGACCCTGGGATCATGACCTTAGCCGAAGACAGATGCTTAACCGACTGAGCCACCCAGGCCCCCTCAGCCTGACTCCTTCTGTTAGAAACAAAGGCTGTAGAGCTACACACTGCATTGGGGGAATGGTCTGATGCCCAAAGGAATTCCTCCCTGGGAATGGGATACACTTCTCACACCCTGGTTAAAGGTATTTAAACCTCAGACATGAGAGCATAGCCCAGGCGTTACAGAAACACTGCCCATTGCCTCCCCTCAACCCATGCTTCCCTAACCCTTCACAAGGCTGTAGAATGGTGTGGAGGGAAAACAGTCCCAACCATGACTTAGAAGGGAAGACACACTGGGTCTTCAGTACAGTGGAGAGGGTGTCCAGGAAGTCTTCAACTACACTGGAAAATATAGGGTATCTTAACTGCCAGTAAAGCATGATTTAGATGAAAAGAATAAAAGCATGACATCTCTGCAAACATTGCAGGTTAAAGAGCATATGAAAGACTTTAGCCACGCTTAGAAAATAACCTTTGCTTCATGTATAACAATTTCATAGGAACACATCAGTAAAATAGACTAGGTAATAGGACAACAAAATGAGGTTTAAAAGGAAATTGCAGATCTATAGAAACAAATCAGTGAATAATTTTTAACACCAGACTTTATCCTAGGTAAGCTATTGAACTTCAAGAATAAAGGAAAAACAAGTACTAAGTCGTTCAGATAGATAAGGCAGATCACCCACAAAGACAAAATCCGGCTCCCCTACAACATGAATGCCAGAATATGGAAGCATGGTATCTGCAGACTGCCTCGGCAGGGAAGCAGCCCTGTACCCAGACAGAGCTCAGATGCAGACTCATGGGCCCTTCTTGGAGAAACTACTTGTTGACACAGTTCAGCTAGCAAACATGTTTTAATCGAAATAAAGAATGAAAAAGTGGAGATTCTCTGGTGAAAGATCTGGTGAAACTTGAATCCTTTTAAATAAGAATTATGTTGGTTCTGTGCAAATTATGGTTTTAAATATTGGGGCCAGCGAAATTCTGATTCAGGAAATCAGGAGGCAGGCCCGTTAATGTGTACTTTAAAAAAAGAGAGAGAGAAAAATCACGTGATATTTTGATGTGAAGTTTTGAGAAACTGGTGTAGTCTTCTAGTTCTGTTCCAGTCAGGATTATTATGGGGCCTTCAGGCAAGTTATGACATGTTTGCCAGTGGCTTTTATTCTGCCTTTCCCAGCCATTCTTCCTACCACCTGGCAGCAATAGGAAGCAATTCTTCACTTACTGCAGGAGCAGTGGCCAGTCATTCTTGCTCACGGTATGTTAGAGAAAACACACTCCTGCCCACCGTTGTACAAGATAAGTTTCTGTCTGAGGCGGTGGTTTTCTGATTCTAATGTGGTAAAGGGGGACTCCAGCTATAGAATTTTATATTTCATTGTTCTTAAATATGCAAATGGTATACAAGAATTAAGTTAAATCTGGGTGATATGAGAAAACGAGTATTTTTTTTTTTTTAGCTTTTAAAATTTTTCTGTCTCTTAACTCAGAAGGGGGGCGAGAGGGAGAGAAAGATAGCAACAAAGGAGAGAGAAACAAAGAAATAGAGAAAAAACCAGAGAGGGATAAAGGCAGGTACATTATAAACCTAAAGAAAATATCACCATGGGAGCTTGCTAAAGGAGATGTCTAGAACCCACTACATCAAAGCACCTTGAACATTTTCTGTTACACAATTATTTACATTTCTACCATAAGGATACTGAAGGTTCAAACTCCCATTCTTTTGTGTATCTCAGTCATTTAGGATTGTACATGGCAGGTAATAGACACTAAACGGCTTGCATGGCAAGGATGGATGCATGCCTTAAATTTAGGAAGAGAAATTTCTTTCTCCTGCGGTCTGCCTGGGGACAGTTTTCCGAGCCTTTGTGTTGCTCATTTGGAGGACAGTGTTTGTAACCTGCCTATACTGTATTTAAAGGCACTCACTCGACTTTAATTTCCTATTACTAGCTCACCGTGTCAGTATATAGTCCCATTCACATAACTGGGTTGATTTTATTACATCTATTGAAAAAATAAGTAATCGCAAACCTACGTAGTAATATGTTGAAAGTCATAAGAGGTCAAAGATTCATGTTTTTCAAACAAATCTTAATAAAATCATATATAAAGTTCTGGTCTTATAAAAGGTTACAGCCTAGCTGTAAATTTTTGAAGATATTTTTAAAAGGAAAAGAAAAAGGAGTTGCATAAATATGTAAGTAAAATAACAAGGAATCAGGTACTGATATTGATGTGGTTCTAAAATTACATTTATCCATTTTAAAATGTGAACAGTCTTAATGTGCA